CAATTCGATGCCTATCGTCATTGAATCCGTCAGTCTTGAATCTTTTTTGCTTTGGCTCTCTTCTTTAAAAAATACCCCCCCTCACACTTCAAACTCTACTTTGGTTCCCTCTTCAAATCACCCAGTAAGTGTAAAAGAGGATCCTCCTGCTTCCAAGGGTTCCAGCTTTTCTGCTCAGACCAGCGGAGCTTGGTCCAGAACTTGACAAGTTCTGATCTTATTAAGTTGTGGGACCCACCGCCAGGTGGGTATAGTGCCCCAACCTTTGTTTTAGAATTTGATCGATGGTTGTTAGAAATTTATCTATGTTTATACTTGTATTGGCTGTGGAGCTGTTGTTACCCCTCGGTAGAACTATCCCTTAATGATCCCTCAGAGGAATTTTCTAGTCCTCAGGAGGAGACAGTTAGTTAACCCTCCAGTCCCTAGGGGGAGACTTTGTCTATCATTTCTAACCCCCCAAATTTGGGTCAATAAACTCTTTGGTTTGGTCTTCATAAAGGTTACTCCACGGGCAAAACAAGCAGCCATCTTTCCTCCTGGGTCATAAGTTAAACGGAGATCACCTTGCCAATAACTTTACGAAGAATTTTGCCTAGCTGAGAGAAAGTTATGTTTAAAGGGTAAGTGATAGGATTAGCGTGATTGTTATGAATGAGGTTATTATAAAGGTTCTTACTAATGTGAACTCTAGCTTCCCAATGAGGTTTGTAAGACCTTAGAAAGAAATCAAACAAATTATAAGGAAAGTTTACCGTATTAGCGTAGAAAACAGAAGGTTCAACCATAGTTTCATTAATAGCAGTGCTTTGGAACATATAGCAGTGTGCTGCTCTTGGATTCTATTGATTTTTTCTTGCTCTCCCCCCATTTGCTTTCAAGGATCTTGCCCATGAAGTAATTTGCCCATGAATTTGTCACCTGTTCCTTGCCCCCTCCTCTACCCGGCTCCCTTGTTAATTTACCCCCCCCTCTCTACTACGGGGCCCTATTGGGGTTCCTAAGGACCAATGTTAATGGGACCTAGATAGAACCCCCCTGGCCCACCCCCCCGAGGCCTAGGGCTCCTGGTGTCCCGGGTGTTGTATTTTGAGGGCTTAGCCCGAGCCCTACCAATGAGTAGGTTTTTTGGTCGGTCGGGGGAGGGCCCCGGCGGTCACAGGCCAAGGCCTGATAAAAAAGTGAAACAAAGATGAGCACCGTACCGTGTAGTGGAGCACCTTATTGGAGTCGAACCAATAACCTACGGTTTCGAAGACCGACGCTCTATCCGATTGAGCTAAAGGTGCTGTTTGGTTAGCCCGAGCCGGCCTACCAGCGAGCCATGCGGGCTACTGAGTAGGATAAGATGAGGTACAGGACAAGGTCATATTCCAAACCTAGGTAGGCAACAGCTCTCGGCCGAGGTAGATGCCCTCGTTGAGGACCGGCCCCTGGACTAGGCCGGGCCGAAGAAATAGAAGCCATAAGGAGAGCTGGTGACAAACTACACCGCCCTAGGACCCTCTAGTTAACTAGGCGGCCATTTAACCTTTGATTACATTCCAGATCGCAGGGGATCTATTATAAAACCATGTATTAGTTGAACCACTGATATACATGATAGGGTAGGGAAAGAACAAGGGTAGCTAGGTAGGTCCCCTAACTATTCTCGTCACAGAGACAGGGACCGGCTGTGTGCTCTGACACTTTAATCTAACAGGGGGGGGAGTTTTAATAGGAAAATAAAGTAGAATAAGTATGCGAAACAAGATATCACAGAAAGTGAGAATATTTAAGAGAAGACTAGAGTCCGGCTCGAGATGACATTGTACTCGGGATGTGACCTCTTACCAGCTGTTGTACTTTAGGAACCTCCCTTATTGGTATTCTAATACGGTATTGTTCCTTAGCTTTATTTGCAACTATACGAGTAATATGAATACCAATTATCAGAAAATAGGGCCAATGGGATTCGAACCCATAACCACTGCGTTATCAACACAGCACTCTAACCGACTGAGCTATGACCCTAACCTAGGAAGAAGGTACCAGCAGAGGGGAGGTAACAATAGAAATAAAATAATAGAACAAAGTTAAAATAACCTCCTAGTGTGAAATACTGCAGCTGAAATGCCAATGTCTTCTTAGCCAAGCATAACAGCTTGAATGTACTAACCATATTTCCAATACTTAGTTTATAAGTTTTGTGAGGAGAAAGACCTTAACCCAAATAACTTCGAAGTAATGGAACAAGGTTATTTTTACTTAGACAAGAGACGGATCTACTTTTTTGATTTGTTTAGCTTCCGTATAGTCGAGGGAAGATTGCCCGTGGAATCAGGATAGTGTTCATCAATCAGGGGTTGGACCTTGTCAATCTGGATAATCCCACAACGAGGTTTAGTCTACACATGTTCTCCGTCATGGCGGAGCATGAGCGTAATGAGATATCCCACAGGACCAAGGAGGCACTACGTGTACTAAGGGAGAGGGGTAGGAAGTTGGGAAGGACGAAGGGTGACATACTACCCTCCAAGTTGGATGATCATAGGGGGAAGATAGTGGAATGGATAGGATTGGGGTTGTCCCTCGGTGATATGGCTGCTAGGTTGCGATGCAATCCCAACACAATCTCCGTATACGGTAGGAAGAGGGGTATACTGAGACGCAAGTGGGTTAGGAGGAATTTCATGTGAGTCTATGTGGGTATTTTTTAAAGAAGAGAGCCAAAGCAAAAAAGATTCAAGACTGACGGATTCAATGACGATAGGCATCGAATTG